TCTTTTTTTTTTCCTTAGCTTCCCCATTATGGGCTCGGAATTGATGTTTACTTCCACATGACTTCTCAGCTATAGACGACGCCCAGGAAAAAGGAAAAGACAGCGTAAAAAAGAAATGGTTCGCCTTTAAAATGAAAAAAAAAGCGACGTGCTTTAGTAGGGAGAGTCATCTATCTCTTCCCCGCTGTTCAAGCCTTTGGATGACAGCACGGTACAAGTGGTACGCACCCGAAAATTGAAGTTTCACATTGTGTAATGACGTGGTAACTGGATACCCTTGTCTTATTCCTGCTTCTTTTCAAGCGAGCCTCTTATCAAGTATGCGTCATGGTTTTGTGCTGTATATATACGTATAACCAAAAGCATCGTTCTGGCCAGAATTTTTTTACGGTGGACATTCTAAGAGTGAGGAGGGGAGGAGGACATATTAAGTTTAATCATTTGAAGTTTTCAAGCTTCCCGTTTTCAACTCGCATTCACAATTCAGGTCACTCGTTTTCATCATCTACGTTGCTAGATCTGTTTATTACGAACATAGACAGAGCAAGGGTAAAATCTGGAGTAATTAGCGCTGACATTAGTGACCACTTACCGATTTATTTATGTTTTACAAAAGAATTCAAAAAACATGTTAGCAATACCCGCTCTTTTCAACCTATCACTGAAAATGCCCTTTCTATATTTAGGCAAAATGTAGCGCAAGTAAACTGGGATTTTATTCTGAAAGAAAATGATCCTGAAATAGTGTACGACAAGTTAATAAATGTTCTTAAACCAATTTACAACGCAAGTTTTCCATTCAAAGTTGTGAGGAACAACCACCGAACTCGGAAGCCATGGATCACACAAGAACTACTTACTAAGATTAGGTTGAAAAACACTTTGTATCACAAGTTCATCAAAACTAAAGATGCGAATGACTTACGTATCTTTAGGAATCTCCGTAATCGCCTCAACAAGGAACTTAAAAAAGCTAGAGCAGATTATTAGACAAATCAGTTTGTTGCATGCCAGGGTTGCACTGATTTAACGTGGAAAAAGCTAAACAGTATTCTAGGGAAACAAAGTTGTGAAAAAGAACTTTCCACACTTGTACTAAACGGGGAAGCTATATCCGGCCAGGAACTGGCCAAGGAATTTAATCGCCATTTTGTAAGCATTTCTAGTGAAGCGAAATCGTTCAATGACCTCCTAAACATTACCTCGATAGAAAATACTCTATTTCTTAGCCCGCTTGATGAAGCTGAGGTGATGGGCACATTCAACACGCTAAACAACACGACATCTTGTGACATTGATGGATTCCAAGTTAAACCAATTAAGTTTATATTTGACATTATTTCGCCGTACATTACGCATATTCTCAACAAGTGTATCATTCAGGCAGTGTTTCCTCGTGGTATGCAGCTTGCGCGTGTATCAGTAATTGCGTGTATCAGCTTGCGCGTGTATCAGTAAAAAGGGTGACAGAAATCAATTGGGAAATTACAAGCCAATATCTATACTACCAATATTTTCAAAACTGTTTGAAAAAGTTATTCATAAGCGCTTCGTGAGCTTTGAATCTAAGCATTCCCTAATTAGCGACTCTCAATTTGGTTTCAGAAAACACTGTTCGACAAAGCTCGCGCTACTGGAACAAAAAGAACACATTCTAAAGGAACTTGACAAAAATAAAATAGTTATTGGGATCTATGTCGACTTTACGAAGGCTTTCGACCTAATAAACCATGAACTATTGCTGCGCAAGTTAGAGCGTTGCGGATTTCGTGGACATGCATCTGCACTCGTAAAATCTTATCTTGAATTCCGTAGGCAGGCAGTTGTTGTAAACGGATTCTTATCCGATACACGGCCTGTTCAGTGTGGCGTCCCACAAGGCAGCATTTTGGGCCCGTTTCTTTTTAACATGTTTATAAATGATATTGTGCAGACTATACCCTTCGCAAAAATTGTATGCTACGCTGACGACACGAGCATATTTCTAGCTGGAGATAATATAGGCGAGTTGACAGAACAAGCAAATGACGCACTACACAAACTTGATAACTGGACACGAAAGAACGCATTACAGATAAACAGCTCAAAAACTAAAGTTGTCATCTTTAGAGGAAAAAACAAAAAAGTCACATTAACAAGAGATATATGTTTTCAGAGTATTCCCCTAGAAATAGTGCCATCGATTAAAACATTAGGAGTTATGATAAATCAAAAACTGTCCTGGGACGACCATGTAAGCTATCTTGGTAGCAAGCTGTCGCAGATAATAGGCATTGTTTACAGAAAACGTGAGATGCTGCCACTGAACGTGATGATCCTAATCTATCAGTCTTTATTTTATTCTCATCTAAACTACTGTCACTTAGTCTGGGGTACCACGACACAAGAAAACCTAAACAAATTACACGTCCTACAAAAAAGCTTCTTACGCGTAATGGAAAACCTTCCTCGCTGGCACACAACAACCGAACTTTTTACCAAACACAAAATTGTGCGGGTAACTAAATTATATGAGTATCGTCTTTGTCATTCCTTCAAGCGTGAAATCAAGTATAGTACATTTCTACTTCGTAAGATTGCTCGGCTAGAGCCGCGAAAACATATATGCAGAACAAGAAATACAGATATATGGCACGTTCAAACATACAGAACAACTTACGGCACGCAAACCCTGAAAAACCAGCTTCCGCGACTGCTCAATAGCTTCGCAGCTAAAAACGCACCCCTTGAAACATTGACACATAAAGAGTTGTTATCATTTTTTCTTTCATAATTCCTGTTATCTGTTTGCTCGCGATTTCTGTGCCTTAAAAGTGTACTTCCTTGTATTGTGTCTTTCATTTTTCTTTTTCTGTTATATTATGCACATTTGGTTGTGTTATATTATGCACATTTGGTGAATCCTTGCTGTTCGCCAAGTTAGGGGTCAGCAGCTCAGTCAAGCTGTACGATCCTCGGATTTTGCAGCTTTTACTGCGGGCCCCTGTCATCATGTACACAATGATGATGAAATAAACGTATTATGATTATTATTATTATTATGTCGCCCTTGGAAAACACACGCTTCGCATAACATTGACTCCCAAGGTACGTGCGATCTGCCAAATTTTGCACTGAGTAGCTGGAATCGTTGAGGCACCTGGCGAAGTAGATCTCAACTACGACCTACTTTCCATTTGGCCTCCGAGACTTGTTTCGGCCGTGCGACTAAACACAAAGTAAACGCAGTTGTACTCCTCACCTCAAACTCTCCGGATAAAAAAATAAATAGTAATAAAGGTGCTGACAAGGCCGCCTCTACGCGAAGCAATAGCAGGCGTAAAACCAATTAAAGATAAATAAAAAGGGGTATAAAAGCAACAAAAAAAAGTGTACTACCCAGTAGTACACCAGAGCGAGCCATCGCCGATGAGCGAGTGTCAAAACCAGGAACCCGAATAAAGGATGAAGTTCACCTTCAAGACTGTTTTTTTTTTAGGGGCGAAGCTCCTTAGGGCGTGGGCTGTGCGTCCCCTGTAGCCTGTATGTAGCCACCTCTAGTTTAGTTCTTGCAGTGTTCACTAGATGGCGGTACCGTCCCCTGTATGTTTTGGGAACTCAGTGGTGTGCATGAGGGCAGAGGTGCAATCGGGAATGGATGTAAATCAAAGGACTGTGGGACGCCTCACGTTGGGTGCTCACGGGAAGACGACAAACGAGGCTGTAAAGGGCGATATGGGGTGGGCAGGTTTTGAGGCGAGGGAAGCGCAGAGCAAAATAAGGTTCGAAGAAAGGCTAAGAAATATGAAGGAGAGTAGATGGGCAGAGAAGGTGTTCCGTTATTTGTATAGGAAGAGCGTGGACACACAGTGGAGAAAAAGAACTAGAAGACTCACTAGTAAATATACGGCTGGTATTGTGAGCCATATGTCAACAAAGAGCGTTAAGGGAAAAGTCAGGGAGGCGGAGAGGATTTACTGGATGACAGCTATGGAGAAAAAACCGGCTTTGAGTAACTACCGAAAGGGCAAAAATGAAATAAGGAGGGAGGCATTTTACGATAATTCAAGGGGAAGCGCTTTACTGTTTGAAGCGAGATCGGGTTGCCTTAGAACGCGTAGTTATAAAGCAAGATTCAGTAAAGAAGAAGAACAATGCACATGCTGCGGGAAAGATAAGGAAACGGCGGAGCATGTTCTGATTGAATGTGGAGATATCCACCCAGGTGTACGTTTGGGCACGAGCCTACAGGAAGCCTTGGGTTTTAGGGACAACAATGGAAAGCTGAACACACCCGCGATTGAAATAAGTAAGAGACGGTTAGAGTATTGGTGGCAGAAAATTAGAGAGAAAGGACAAAAATAAATATTGGAAAAATAAAATATGGACAGTGTGCCGTAAATGGCAGAGAACTTAAGCTGAAAATTTACCTTTTTTTCCATTAAGATAGAATTTATCGAAGTAGAGGCATTAGGCCAACATAAAAAAAAGAAAAAGTTTTTTTTTTTTTTTTTTGTCGAGCCTGGTGGCATACTTGTCACCACCCCGTTATAAAGGGGACGCTCATAGCATCGATCCATTCATGTAGCCACCCCTAGTTTAGTTCTTGCAGTGTTCACTAGATGGCGGTACCGTCTCCTGTATGTAGCCACCTCTCGTTTGGTTCTTGTAGTGTTTACTAGATGGTGGTGCTTGTAGCTGATGATGAAAAGATGCAAGTTGTTATAAACTAGAAAGCGGTACTTGTAGTTGATGAAAGACGCGAGATCTTATAAAATAGGAATGATGTCACATATGGCGCGTGTCATTGGTTGAAGGCAATCGTTCGATTTAGTGCGGCGACGTACGCTTGGGGGAGCGATGTAATAAAATCGAGTGGGCAAAATGTACAGAGGATTCATGGTTTACCGGGTTTACCTCCGGAGCTTCGCCCACTCATCATCATTCACTTCGTGAATATGGCGGAATTTTTTTTAATAATGTGTTCTGTACGACAGTAATTATCGATTTTTTCCTCTCACCGTGTAAGGCCTTCAGGTACGTCTTCCCGGCAGCGATGAGTTGCCTGGCGCAGGGATTGAACTTTTCCAAGATGTTCTGGAATGAAGACCAAAAAAGTACAGGTCAATAATTTCATTTACAAATTTTTATTATAATGGTGTACAGCGCCTTTGGCTAACGCAGCTGGAGAGCAGAGTGGCAGGCTATGTTCCCCTTCACGGGACATAAATTAATTTACACTCACAAACTTAGTGAATGACACTGCATTTTTCTCATTATAGTTGATGTATTTTGGTCACCTAGGTATCACTAGTTGTTCTACGTGCTAATAAATGGTCGCCGAAGTGTTAATCTACACTCGATTTACCTCGACTTTCCTTCAATTCAGTTCAACATTTTATTCACAATAAGCAACTGTTCTTATTAATTTCTCTATTAATTAACCTGGCATCACAATTGATTAACTTTGTTGCGAGATTATGATTTCTAATTATTTGGCCTCCCCTTCGTGCATAGAAATTTATTAAGGGTGGACCTCAACAACCAGCTCGAACAAAATCACTCGTAGCGGCACCATCTACGGCACGTAACAAGAGTTTTTCTTTCGTCTCTACATAGAAAAACTATGACAAGAGCCAAAAGAGCATTCTAACATCGCGAAAATATGCTTAATATATCGGTATGGGCTTGTCGGTCCACTTCACAACAACGGCGCCGAGGATTGGGAGCGTCAAAAATGAAGAACAAGAAAAGAATAGAACCAAGAAGATAAAAGAAAGAAGCAATAAGAACACAAAGAACCAGATGAGTCACAATGTGAAGATATGAAATGTACGAACAAATACTAATAAGAAGAACAAGAGAAACCACAACTACATGTACACGAAGTTGAAAGAAAAAAAAAAGAAGCGAGTTCCAACGAAGGAGGAAGACATAGCTCGATGCCGACAAATGTACGAGAGCATCAGGAAGAAGAACCTTCTGAAGATAAACAGAAAAAGACGGTACGGGGAACAAGAAAATGATCGCAAGAGAGCAGCGTGCCTGCGAACTAAGGTTCGATGATCTCCCAAGCATGACCGCCGAGAACGTGTCTTAGTTTATTTTCTTTCTATTTTTTTCTCCCTTTTAGACGTATTATTTGTGTTTGGTTATATTTTGCCCCCCACCCCCATACATGCCGCTTATTGCGTTCGGGCTCACCACGTCCCCTTCTCCTATTTTGGCGTTCTCAGCCAAGCCACCGGTCCCGAAAAACAGCGAAATCTCCTCCTGGGGCGGTGGTGGGGAACGCGGGCTCGAAATAGCCGCGGTGCGCGAGCTCTATGTGCGGTCCTGCCCCGCCAGGCTTTCAGTGGACACCGGGTGCCCAAGGCCCGAGCTAAAGCCTCCTTCAGCTTCAAGCGGTGGTTCAAGGGGGTCGGCCGTGGTGTCCGGCAGAAAGAGCAGTTGGCCCGACGCCCGTGCGTCTGTGTTGTTCTCGTTTAGCATTCGAAATAGTTCACGCGCTTTCACGTGACAACACGAACGGGAAATTTCGAAAAGTTAATTAGAGTGCGAAAACTTGACACGATCCCTCACACACGCACACACCCATGCATCAAACACACAGCGATACATGGGTATGTGCGTGTGTGAGTGATCGTGTCAAGTTTCAGCGCTCTAATTAACTTTTCGAAATGATCTACCAACTAGCCACAAAAACAAGTTCTCTTAGATTACGAACGGAAAAGACACGGGTTCCCGTCTTGGCATCCGGGCAGGAATAAAAATCAACTCCTCCTCCTGCCTTTTTGACTGTAACCTCATGAAACTTACTGATGAATGTTGTACCAACGCCCTGAACGCAACACCTTTCTTTGCTCGTGTGAATACGTTTAAATGCGGCTTTTTTTTTTTCCCCTGCAATGGGTCTGTGGAATTCTCTGACCAGCAATATTCGCTCCTTACCGCTAAAACATTTCCTATAGTTGCAGTCGGTGAACATCTTACTACTAACATGCAATCGACTTCGTTTTCACTTTTAATTTGTAACGAGTGTTCTTGCTTTACAATTTGAATCATTCGCTTGCATTTCCTTCCTGTTGCCATGTATTATATACCGACCCAATCCTGCTGTAGCCCTGAATGGGGCTGCACTATATATAAATAAAAATATTAATAAGAAGAAAGTGAAGGAAAAAAATATTAAGGCATCTTCGCACTATGGGTGCCAAGGAAGTGCCAAGCGGGGCCGCCTCCTTTGTTTTTATTTGGTTTTCTCTTTCTTTATTTTCTCTTTATTTTTTTTCAATTATTACATTTTTCTTCTCTTTTTTGTTTTTATTTATAATTTCTATGCGTGGTTTGGCCCGCGTTACGCCGAGCGATGGCAGCCTGCGGCCTCCCGAGTGTTTAAATTGCTCCCCGCCTAAAATATACAGTCTATTCACGTCGTGGGGATGATTGTACACCTGAGCTGCTGTACAAAACCGGGAGTCGTTTTTTGATAACTAGCTTTTTTTGTCAGATAGAATTTTTTTTTCTCTCCTGTCCTCCGTTTCGTTACGGCAGGCTATATTGCTGTAGCCGACGAGAGAGGGCGCTGCATTCACATAGGAAAGGGGGACAAAGCCGATATAAACAACTACCGTCCTACAACAGTTACATCATTAGTTTATAGGCTGGTGATGCAGATAGTAAAGCAAAGACTACAGACATGGGTGCAGAATGAGGGGGTGCTGGGAAAACTACAAAATGGGTTCCGTAAACGAAGGAGTACAATTTGTTTTCATTGATGCAGTATATTGAAATAGCGGAAAAAGAACACAGGCTCCTGTGGCTGGCATTTCTAGATATCAAGGGAGCTTACAATAGCGTGATTCAAGAAGACTAGTGGGGAATACTGGACACACTAGATGTGGAAGATGGAATAACTAATCTTCTAAAGGATATCTATAAAAGTAACAAGGTATCAAATGGGAGGAACAGGTATCTGAACATAATGAAATACATCGCGGGCTTTGACATGGATGTCCCCTGTCACGTTTGTTATTTATGTTGTATCTACATGAACTAGAAGCCAAATTAGAAGGCAGTCGGCACGGCTTCCGCCTCTTTTTTGCAAAGCAAGAAAATACATTCAACAGTCATTACCAGCATTGATGTATGCAGATGATATAGTATTAATGGTCGACAATAAGGAAAATCTACAGGGATTGATATACATCTGTGGTAATGGGTGAGATAGGTTAAATTTGAAGTTCAGCGGGTGAAAATTGGCAATCCTGTTTTGTAATTATAACAAAGGCAGTGAGCATAAGATACGGGAAGTCACGCTAGGAATAGTGGATAAATACAAATATTTGGGCGTATGTATAAACAACGGAGCTGCGTACCTTAGGGAGCACGAAGGATACGTAATGACTAAGAGTGACAAGAATGCACGTGTAGTGAAAAATTGAGCATTGTGGAACTACAATAGATATGACGTTGTGAGGGAGATTTAGAAAGGTGTCATGGTCCCGGGTTTGACGTTTGGCAATGCGGTCTTGTGCATGAAATCAGAGGCTCAAACAAGATTGGAAAGTAAACAACGTGACATAGGTAAACTTGCTTTGGGAGCACACGGGAATACCCCAAATCAGGGGGTACAGGTTGACATGAGATGGACTTCGTTTGAGTGCAGGGAAGCTAGCAGCAAGAGAGAATTTGAGGAGCGATTGAGAAAAATCGGAGAGGAGCGTTGGGTAGGAAATCTTTCAGCTACTTGTACATGAAGAGTGTTGATACTAAATGGAGGAAGCGAACTCGAAATTTGTCAAGCAACTATTCAGAAAACAGCGGAATGCCAAGCTAACAGGAAACATCGATTAAGAAGAGGGTGAAAGAAACAGATAGGGACATGTAGAAGATGGGAATGCTTATGAAATCATCACTGGAGACCTACTGAACTTTCAAGCAGGAAGTTGCAAAAGAAAAGATCTACGACTATTCTCGGGGTAGTTTTCTGCTGTTCGAGGCCAGAACGGGAGTATTACGGACCAAGACGTCCAAATACGAAGGCACAGACACGGTATGTAGTGCGTGTGGAGAGGAGGAAGAAACGGCTGAACATTTGATAATGTTCTGTAAAGGTCTCCACCCTATGGCCCAAGATAATGGCGCGGAATTTTGCGAAGGATCGGGGTTTAGGGATAGTGAAGGTAAAATAGACTTTGAACGGGTAGAAATAACCAGGGGGAGGCTAACTGATTGATGGCTATAATCAAGGCGTGAGTGAAATTCAATCCTTAAACATATAGCGATAGTGCTTGACTTTATGGCTAGGTGGCGTAAGCCACCACCCGATCTAAAGGGCACAGCCGGATCCATCCATCTATCCATCCATCCATCCTTCCATCCATCCGTCCATCTATCCATCCATCCATCCGTCCGTCCATCCATCCGTCCGTCCGTCCATCCATCCATCCATCCGTCCGTCCATCCATCCGTCCGTCCGTCCGTCCGTCCGTCCGTCCGTCCGTCCGTCCGTCCGTCCATCCATCCATCCATCCTTCCATCCATCCGTCCATCCATCCGTCCGTCCATCCATCCATCCGTCCGTCCGTCCATTCATCCATCCATTCATCCATCCATCCGTCCATCCGTCCGTCCATCCGTCCGTCCATTCATCCGTCCATCCATCTATCCTTCCATCCGTCCGTCCATCCATCCGTCCATCCGTCCGTCCATCCGTCCATTCGTCCGTCCGTTCGTCCGTCCGTCCGTCCATCCATCCATCCATCCATCCGTCCATCCGTCCGTCCGTCCATCCGTCCGTCCATCCGTCCGTCCATTCATCCATCCATCAATCTATCCATCCATCCATCCATCCTTCCATCCGTCCGTCCATCCATCCATCCGTCCATCCGTCCGTCCATCCGTCCGTTCGTTCGTTCGTCCGTCCGTCCATTCATCCATCCATCCATCCATCCATCCATCCATCCATCCATCCATCCGTCCGTCCGTCCGTCCGTCCGTCCGTCCATTCGTCCGTCCATCTATCCATCCATCCATCTATCCATCCGTCCGTCCTTCCATCCGTCCGTCCATCCATCCATCCGTCCATCCGTCCG